TGCTAAGACAGAACTGGAAATAATTATAATATAATATGATAGTTTCCTAAATGGCGATAGCTATAAACTTTAGATCTGTAATGAAAAAAACATGTAAGTCTTATGGGGAAGTCCTGGAATAATACCATGGAAGAAAAATAGTATCCAGTATTAATCATAGTGCCAAGGAAGACTCTCAATAAATATTTAGAAATTGGATAGATGAGCATAGCTCTGAAGAGTGCAAAGGAGTTTGCCAAATTGTCAAATGTAAAGAGAATATTCCAGTCAGGAAATCCTATTCAGAGGCTCAGAGATATAAGAGGCTCAGGTGGTACTGGTGGAGCATAAAGTTTGAGGTTAAGTCATAAGAGAGAAAGCTGTTGGCTAGAGGTGATGAACCAGCTCATGAATGGCCTCTTCCATGAAAAAGAAGTTAGATTTTTATTTTGCAGGCAGTAGAAAACCAATGATGTGACAAGTAAAACTACTATATTTCAGGGGCACCTGGGTGGCTCAGTTAAGCATCTGCCTTTGGCTCAGGTCATGATTTTGGGCTCCCTGCTGAGCGGGAAGCCTGCTTCTCCTTCTCCCTCTGCTCTTCCCCCTGAACATTCTGTCTCTTTCTCTTTCTCTCTCTCTCTCAAATAAAGTCTTTAAAAAAAAAAAAAAAACTATATTTCAAATCATACCATATGCCAGGCAGGTACGTATAATCCTACTATAGAGTTGATACAGTCTCATTTTATAGTTGAGAAACTGAACTTCAGTGAGATTAATTAACTTGCCCAGGTTTTCACAGCTACTAAGTGGAAGAACTAGGATTTAAACTTAGGTTGGTTGAGTCCAGACCTCCCATCTGCTTTTTAAACTATATTTTACAGCCCCTCCAGCAGGGAAGAAACTACATTTATTTTTACTTTTTTCAACCAGTGTCTTTACCTCACATGATTTTCAACTCTGGCAAGTTCAAAATTTTTATGTACTTCTAAGTTCTTAACAGTTTGGGAGTCTTTCATTTGCTGAAGGCCCCAAATGGTATCTTAGAGTAACTTAGCAGACTACTTTCTATTCTGGTGTCATCTTCTATCTAGCTAGTTCAAGTAACTGTCTTGCCTAATGAAGAGTCTGGTTGGTGGGGAGGGTGGTCACCATGGAATGCCATGGCCCAGTCAGCATGATTTGCATACTCTAAAAGAGAAAAATTTGAAGTACTACTTCCCTTTTTTGAAACATCTAGATCTTAGTCTTCAACATGAATAAAGAATAGTATAAAGAATTACTTTAAGAACAGCCAGTGTTAATCATGATGTTCTATTTATTATGGATGTAGTTTACTATTTAAATAATGAATTCTGCCTCAGAATTCTGGTGTCCTCGGTTAGCTTGAAGTACTTCAGATGTTATCTAGATTTGTGATCCCTCTGGCTACCCTAGCAGAAGATTCTTCCTAATTTTAATGGCTATTAAAATGTGGTAAGTTCTGGAGATAGGGGTTGTGATTGCACAACAATGAGAACATACTTGATGCCATTAAACTGTACACTTAAAATGGTTAAAATGCTAAATTTTATGTACATTTTACCACAATAAGAAAAATGTGGTATAGAAGTTCAAAATGACCTGAGATCTCTTATCAAGCAGTTTCCAAATATTTTTGAGAATCTTTTGTCCCCAATAACTTGAGTTAGAATCTTCATTCTACCTATCCCATCGTCATAGGCTGATCAAATTAAATGTTCTTAATACTAAACTGTTTGAAAAAAAAAATTATACTTGGGTGCAGGGATAAAGACAGAAGCATGATAATGATATTATGGGGCACTCATCCTCAGGATGAATGTGATAAAGATGCGTTTTGGACTGGCTGCTATTGGCCCCAACTGCACTTTATTCAAAAGAGCAGCTAAGGAGTTAAGTAGGCTATCCAAATGTCACCTCCACTGGTGTGATGTGCATGGTTGCAGCTCCAACTCGTAACTAAAGTTCAGATTTTTAGATTCCCTCCTCTTAACCTCTCCCTGCCCCCCTACCCCAGTATCAGGAGCAATTAAGTTTTCACCCATTAGATTCACGAAAATTAAAAGAATGTGCTGGTGAAGATATGGGAAACATCCATATTGTTGGTGAGTGTGAATTGCATAACTTTTTAGAAAGTAATGTAATAACTGTTAGAAATTTTTAAGTGCACATACTTTTGGTCTAATAATCCCACTGGGTTGCCACTACTGTGTAGAGACATTAGTACAAGATTATTTTTTGTGTGTGTTGTTTATTGTCGTTAAAAAAGAAAAAAAAGTAGAGGCATCCTGGAAGCCAGTCAAGAAGTGGTTGAACAAATTATGTTCTATCCATTCTAAAGACCCATATGCAGCTATTAAAAATGAGTTAAATCTATACTTTGGCCGGGAATGATGGTATATTATGTGTTTAAAAGTTGTAGGATTAATAATTTGTAGTATGATCCTAAAACAGAACAAAACCAGAACTATATGTATGTTTGAGAAAGAGAAAGGTGTAGCAGGATTCATACCAAACTTATAACGGATTCGGTCATGGACATAAGCTTGGAGGTAGGATTGAATTAACTTTATGTGGGGGTGCCTGGGTGGCTTAGGTGTTAAGCATCTGCCTTCGGCTCAGGTCATGGTCCCAGGGTCCTGGGATCGAGCCCCGCATCGGGCTCCCTCCTCCGCAGGAAGTCTGCTTCTCCCTCTCCCACTCCCCCACTTGTTTTCCCTCTCTGGCTGTGTCTCTCTGTGAAATAAATAAATAAAATCTTAAAAAAAAACCAGACAAAACAAGACCCATCGATTTGCTGTCAGCAAGAGACTCATTTTAGACCCAAAGACAACTCCAGAGTTAAAGTGAGGGTGTGGAAAATAATTTACCATGCTAATGGACACCAAAAGAAAGCAGGGGTGGCAATCCTTATATCAGACAAATTACATTTTAAACCAAAGACTGTAAGAGACAAGGAAGGGCACTATATCATACTTAAAGGGTCTAACCAATAAAAAGATCTAACAATTTTAAATATCTATGCCCCTAACATGGGCGCAGCCAATTAATAACAAAAGCAAAGAAACACATTGACAACAATACAATAATAGTAGGGGACTTTAACACCCACCTCACTGAAATGGACAGATCATCTAAGCAAAAGATCAGCAAGGAAATAAAGACTTTAAA